TCGATTTGTAGGAATGTAAAAGGTTGCATCGAGCATTGACCGGGCAACGTAGAGGAAGAGAAGATGAAATAGGTATCTTGGCATTTCTCTTGTTTCTTGTCATGTCTCTTGTTTCTTGGCATGTCTCTTGTTTCTTGTCATGTCTCTTGTTTCTTGGCATTTCTCTTGTTTCTTGTCATGTCTCTTGTTTCTTGGCATGTCTTTTGTTTCTTGGCATGTCTCTTGTTTATTGGCATGTCTCATGTCATGTCTCTTGTCTACTCTTGTTTCTTGTCAACATCATGTCATGTCTTGCTCATGCTTCTTGCATGTTCTAGGCGAAGAAAGGCACGTGTAAATATACATACGGGAGATACATACCTCTCTACCGATCCCAGCCGTTCTACTACAGCAATAAGTGAGTACATGCACAATTGCTTAATTCACAAGTACAGTGGTTGCCTATGCTTTTCAAACATTGGAATCAAAATTGATTTACATTTGCGCCGATCGCACATGAATGACGACATTTTCTTACAATATTTGTAGCATTGTTTCAATTTGAAATACGCTCATACAACGTCCACAAAAAGTACATCAAAATGATGTTTAAACAGATATTCAGAAAACCACCTCTCACGCCCTATTCACACACAATTTACGCACAGCCCGCGCACCAATCACGCGTCATTCACGCACCAATCACTCACCATCAGCGCACCAAGCATGTACCATTCACTCACTAATCACGTACCATTCACGGACCAATCCGCACCATACACGGTCTAATCATGCACGCACCATTCATGGACAAATTACGCAGTATTCACGCACCAATCACGTACCATTCACGGACCAATCGCACCATTCACGGTCCAATCACGCACAATTCATGGACAAATCACGCAGTATTCGCGCACCAATCACGTACCATTTACGGACCAATCCGCACCATTCACTGTCCAATCACGCACCATTCATGGACAAATCACGCAGTATTCGTGCACCAATCACGTACCATTCACGAACCAATCCGCACCATTCACGGTCTAATCATGCGTGCACCATTCATGGACAAATCACCCAGTATTTACGCATCAATCAAGAATCACTCACACACCAATCATGCAAAGCTCCTACACCATTCACGGGCCCAGTACAAAACACGCACGTTTTCTCATTTTGCGTGGTAGAACTAGTACATGGCATATGAGACGATATCATAATCATACGTATGATAGATAAAAGTAAAGCGAATTACATTTCCTACATGGAGTTACTAAGGCTTGAGATTGCATCGAGCAGCGAGATGGCTATTCTCGCAAGTCAGCAAGAATTGGAGCTTCAGAGTCATGACTAAAAATTCCTTTTCTCTGCTTTTGATGTAGAACTCAATATATTCACGCTCGCTGCAACTCAATACGGGCATGTACATGCTTATACACGCTCACACAGGTTCAATTGAGGCTTGTGCTTCAATACAGTCCTAACTCAGAAATTCCTTAGAAATTCATGAATCTATTTTTTTTATATCTGTATCGATGGCGCGACGGATTTTGAGAGATATCTGCATGTGATTATTGATGTGTGTTGTCGTGTACAGGGATGGCGATGGTGAGGACATGCTCTCTTTCTTCGTCTGCTATGCACCGACCATTATAGCTATAGCTGTTCCAACTAATAACGACAGATTCTACATGTATCGTGGTGGTAAGATATCGTAAATTATACGGTCAGAAAGAGCAGTTATTTTATTTTTATTTTTTAATAATGTCGATGCATTTTCAGCTATTGCATTAGCTGTTAATGCGTTGGCTAATAATTGTGGGTTGAGGGCTATAATATCGTTATGTTATGATTAATTGATGAATATTCAGGTACATAGTTTAATTAGACAGCAATAGAGAGATGAGGTACGGTTAGTTATTATATATACGACTATAGTCATAGTGTTGGCGTTTCAGGTTTCGAGTTTTAAGCACAATTTCTGCAGCTGTTTCGAATAATGCATATCGGTTCGGAAAATGTTTCACATAATGTAGGTGTATGTGTATGTCTACCGTGCAGGTGAATGTCCAGGTAATATATGTGTATGTGTATGGTTACCGTGCAGGTATCATTGATGAGCACACGGCATGCGGTAAAACTATAAACCATGCCGTTGTAGCTGTCGGTATCGGAGAAGAGAACGGAGTCCCTTATTGGCTGGTTCTGAATAGGTATGTATATGCGTTGATGAGTGTGTGTGTGTGTGTGTGTGTGTGTGTGTGTGTGTGTGTGTGTGTGTGTGT